GAACACGGTCAAGCAGGTGAGGCAATTTCTGGGTATGGCGTCGTGGTATAGACGTTTTATTCAGAACTTCGCTACGGTGGCCGCACCGCTCACAGCATTAACTCGAAAAAATGCCCGATGGCAATGGGGTTCAGAGGAAGAAGCGGCATTCGAGAAACTGAAAGGTACGCTCACAACCGCACCAGTACTGGCCTGTCCCGGTTTTTCGCGCCGCTTCGTGTTACAGACCGATGCAAGTACCACCGGGTTGGGTGCCGTGTTAACCCAATACTTTCCAGAGGGTGAACGGGTTATCGCGTACGCGAGTCGAACGCTCAACGCCGCCGAACGAAATTATAGCGCGACCGAATTGGAGTGTCTCGCGGTACTGTGGGGTATCCGGCGAATGAGGGATTATTTGGAAGGATATGCATTTACCGTCATCACGGATCACCAATCACTGAAGTGGTTGCGGAAATTGGAATCACCCTCGGGTAGGCTAGGCAGATGGGCGTTCGAATTACAGCAGTACGATATGGAAGTAAGATATCGTAAAGGAACGCTGAATCGGGTGGCCGATGCCTTGTCACGCCAGCCAATCACGGCAGCGGCCGCAGTTGCACCACAGTGCAAATGGTACACGCATATGCTGCGGACCGTGCAGGAAGACCCACAACGATACCCCGACTACGAAATCCGACAGGGTCAGTTATTCCGGCATTTTTTGCACGACTTAGACTTTACGGAGACACCCATAGACCAACAGTGGAAGGCCTGCGTAGCGAAGGGGGATCGTGCCGAGATCATGCGTAGGAATCACGACGACGCGACCGCCGGACACTTCGGGATAGCGAAAACGATCGCGCGCGTGTCTCAGTTATATTTCTGGCCAGGAATGTCACGGGATATTGCGCGATATGTTAGGAACTGCGCGAATTGCATGAGCCACAAGGTAGCACAGCAACGACCGGCCGGTACTCTCCATGCTACCGCGATCATACGGCCCTGGCAGCAGGTGACGATCGACTTGGTGGGCCCGCTCCCGCGATCGAAA